TGTGGTCCGTCTGATAATGTCTGGTCTCTGTGTATTTTATAATTATGAAAGTCTTGTGTGGTCTCGCCTATCTAAGTCAGGTCTGGTCTTTTCAAATCTGGTCTAATCTGGTTTAATATGGTCTAGACTGAAAACAGTCTGTAAAAACGTCGGTAATGATAAGGTTAATTACCTAATAACTAGGAGTAAATGATAGCTAAAATTCACAAATAGGAATACATTATTTTAAATTCCCTAGTAGGACTAATTATGTGTGTTTAGACAAATATACCCCTGTAACTTTTTGGACTAAAATAAATATATAATAAAATTAAAAAAATAGAAAAATAAATTATAAATTAAAAAAATAAAAAAATGGAAAAAAATAAATCAAAAAATGTGAAAAATACGGAAAAAAAAAGATACATCACTACCTCTGCCGGCTCGGAATCCTGGGAAAAAATGCCAACATGCATTAGTAAATTTTTGGAGGGGCGACGGCCCCCATTAGCCCCTGCCTGTGTCCGCCACTAGGTGGTGGGAAAGACATTCATATTTTTTATATTTCTTATGGTTTTTACTAATTTTTATAAAGTTTTTATTTTTTTATTGCAATTTTTTAAAATTTTAATTTTATAAATATTTATTTTTTTACAATTTTTATTTATTTTTACAATTTTATTATAAATTAAAGCATTTTATTATGAATTAATACTCTTGGGAGTATTTAGGGTCAAAATTAATGCTTAGTCTTATTTTTTAATTTTAATCGAATTTGTGAAATTAAGTTTCAATTTATTTAAATATAAATTAAAAACGAAAACATTCCATTTGGAATGTGGCAATCCGAACGACCGATCAAGCTAAAAAAAGTAAAAAATAGAAACTCTAATTAAAACCCCGTCTTTTTGTTGAAAACTACCTGATCAATAAATATTTATTTCGGTCCCTTCGGGGACATCCGATAAATATTTATTTCGCGGACATGAATAAAAGTTTCAGAGTTTGCTTTAATTTCTTTGCAAATGAATGCATATTTGAAAAATACGATTCACCATCGTGGTTTGATGTCACGTTGAAAACTAGTAACTCAACTTTCTTTAAATACAAAGTTCGAATAATCGTACTTATTAATCGTTCTATAGAATTTTAGAAGCATGAGAGCTGTAAGATCATCTGGGCGAACAAAAAAAATTGACTTCTATAACGACAACTCCTAGAAATTAAATGATTTTATCGACGAATAGTGACGTGTCCTTTGTGATCTAATAAATATAGCCATGAAAAATTGCATATACTTGTAATTAATGGGGCTCTAAGTTTAATTAAGTAATAGAGAGTGGTTGAGAAAATCAAACGCTATCTTAGAATGAAACGCGCGCCAAGAGAAATACTCCGTACTATATAAAGAGCTTTAGATTCACAAGAGTTCCAAGTGAAAAATCTTGCGTCTCTAAGGCAAGCAATAACCTTTGAAATGGCAAAAGTGAGGACTAGAGGCTGCGTTTTATCATCCATTTTTTGTTATGCCTTAATTGGAACTGTAGTCATTGCTAGACATGTGAGAGATAATAACGATGAGTTGGCATTGATTAGTACGGGTGGTATAAAAGGGGGTGGTGGGGGTGGAGGCAGCGGAGGTGGTGGTGGCATTGGTAATGGAGCTGGTGGCGGCGTAGGTGGTGGAGTAAGCGGTGGAGCTGGTGCTGGCGCAAGTGGCGGAGTTGGAATCGGAGCTGGTGGGGGAGCAGGTGGTGGTGTTGGGGGTGGAGCTGGTGGCAGTGCGGGTGGTGGAGTTGGCGGTGGAGCTAATGGTAGTGCAGGTGGTGGTGGTGGTGGTGGCAATGGAGCAAGTGGTGGAATTAGCGTTGGTGGCGGCGTGGGTGGTGGAGTTGGCGGGGGAGTTTCTGGCGGTGTAGGCGGTGGAGTTGGTGGTAGAGTTGGAGTTGGTGGTGGTGTTGGCGGTGCGGGAGGTGGTGTAGGCGGTGGAGCTAGTGGCGCAGGTGGTGGAATTGGTACTGGAGCTGGTGCAAGTGGTGGAGTTGGTGGGGGAGCTGGTGGTGGCATTGGCAGTGGAGCTAGTGGCGGAGTAGGTGGTGGAGTTACCGGTGGAGCTGGTGGTGGTGCAAGTGGTGGAGTTGGCGGGGGAGCTGATGGTGGCATACATGGTGGAGTTGGAGCTAGTGGCGGTGCAAACGGAGGAATTAGCGGTGGAGCTGATGGGGGAGCAGGCGGTGGAGCTGGTGGCGGAGCTAGTGGTAAAGTAGGTGGTGGAGTTGGTGGCAGAGTAGGTGGTGGAGTTGGCGGTGGAGCTGGTGGTGGTGCTGGCGGTGGAATAGGTGGTGGTGCGGGAGGTGGTGTGGGCAGTGGAGTTGGTGGTGGCGCAAGTGGTGGAATTGGCGTTGGAGCTGGTGGTGGTGCAAGTGGTGGAGTTGGCGGGGGAGCTGGTGGTGGCATACATGGTGGAGTTGGAGTTGGAGCTAGTGGCGGCGTAAGCGGAGGAATAAGTGGTGGAGCTGGTGGTGGAGTTGGCGGTGGAGCTAGTGGCGGAGTAAGTGGTGTAGTTGGCGGTGGAGCTGGTGGTGGTGCTAGTAGTGGCATAGGTGGTGGTGCAGGAGGTGGTGTAGGCAGTGGAGCTGGTGGCGGCACAGGTGGTGGAATCGGCGCTGGAGCTGGTGGTGGTGCAAGTGGTGGAGTTGGCGGGGGAGCTGGTGGTGGCATACATGGTGGAGTTGGAGTTGGAGCTAGTGGCGGCGCAACCGGAGGAATAAGCGGTGGAGCTGGTGGCGGATCAGGCGGGGGAGCTGGTGGCGGATCAGGCGGTGGAGCTGGTGGCAGAGCTGGTGGTGGAGTTGGCGGTGGAGCTAGTGGCGGAGTAAGTGGTGGAGTTGGCGGTGGAGCTGGTGGTGGTGCTGGCGGTGCAATAGGTGGTGGTGCGGGAGGTGGTGTAGGCAGTGGAGCTGGTGGCGGCACAGGTGGTGGAATTGGCGCTGGAGCTGGTGGTGGCGCAAGTGGTGGAGTTAGCGTGGGAGCTGGTGGTGGCATACATGGTGGAGTTGGAGTTGGTGCTAGTGGCGGCGCAAGCGGAGGAATTAGCGGTGGAGCAGGCGGTGGAGCCGGTGGTGGCGCAGGTGGTGGAGTTGGCGCTGCAGCTGGTGGTGGTGCAAGTGGTGGAGTTGGCGGGGGAGCTAGTGGTGGCATACGTGGTGGAGTTGGAGCTAGTGGCGGAGCAAGCGGAGGAATTAGCGGTGGAGGTGGTGGCGGAGCAGGCGGTGGAGCTGGTGGCGGAGGTGGTGACGGAGCAGGCGGTGGAGCTGGTGGCAGAGCTGGTGGTGGAGTTGGCGGTGGAGCTAGTGGCGGGGTAGGTGGTGGAGTTGGCGTTGGAGCTGGTGGTGGTGCTGGCGGTGGAATAGGTGGTGGTGCGGGAGGTGGTGTAGGCAGTGGAGCTGGTGGCGGCGCAGGTGGTGGAATTGGCGGTGGAGCTGGTGGCGGAGCAGGTGGTGGAGCTGGCGGTGGAGGTAGTGGTGGTGGAGCTAGTGGAGTTGGTGGTGGAGCTGGTGGGGGCGCAAGTGGAGGAGTTGGCGGTGGAGTTGGTGGTGGAGCCAGTGGTGGTGCTGGTGGTGGAATAGGTGGTGGTGCAGGAATTGGTGGCAGTGCAGGTGGTAGTGTACGCAGTGGAGTTGGTGCTGGTGTGGGTGGTGGCGTAGGCAGTGGAGCTAGTGGTAATGTAGGGCATGGTGGCGGTGCAGGTGGTGGAATCGGAGGTGGTGTAGGTGGTGGAGCTGGTGGAGCTAGTGGTGGAGCTGTTGCTGCTGGTGGCGTAGGTGGGGGAGTTCGCGGTGGAGCTGGTGGTGGTGCAAGCGGTGGAGGAGGTGGCGGTGCTGGAGGAGGATTTGGAAACGGAGGTGGCAATGGTGGTCGAACTACTCATCATTAGGAGTTTATATCTGTATACATGTTTATTTGAGATATAATACTTGAATACGAGCACATGTGTACTCGAGTTATAATTTAATTATACAATAAAAGCAAAGGTGTGTCGATAATATATCCTATGCCTTATTATAGTGTTCAATAGTAGCTCTTGATTTTTGAATACATCATTTACAAGCAATATGTATTCCAATTATTTTGGTTAAATGCTATACGTTTTTTCATTTCTTTCAATTGCCATAGATAAGAATTCTTTCATAAGATTCCAGTTTTTTCATGCTTTTCAATTGCCTTAGACAACAATTCTACATACTTCCAATCAGGATTCGATTGCCTTAGAGAAGATGTCCTATTTCAGTTGCCTTAGAGAAGATCTCATAAGAATCAGTAGCCAATGAATCATCCTTCTAATAACTGAAATCAAAGTTTAAAAATTCACATTAAGAACCGGTTGAAGATGACATCAATAACCGTTCCACAACCATCAAACATAAAACATCTCATAGTGAGGTCCATTTGGTAGTGGCACTTAAACCGCATATTATGATGACTAATATGTTTAGCAAACTTCCACATCCTATATCATCCTTGGAAGATGATCTTGGACTGCTTTTTAAAGAAACTGAAGTACAACCTTGTTAAATTACTTGGAAGATAATAACTTAAAATTTTGTTATTTTGTGTAGATAAGCCATATAGGATCTGGTTCCTATTACTGTGAATAGTTGTAAGGCGACATCATTTCAGTCCTTATTCAGCCTATTTTTTAGCTGAGTATCAAGTGTTTCCATCCAAAGTACTGTAGTGGTCATTGTTCAACATGAGACTGGTATGCCACAAATGCGTGACTTATATGATCTAAATATGTAAGCCTAGAGTTTCACACACACAGGGGCGGATGTATTCAAGGGCAGGGGTGGGCTTCAGCCCAGCCCAAAAAAAAAATTTTAGTTAGTATAGGTATATGATAAATTCTCAGCCCATCTCCAAATTATTCTCAGCCCAGCCAAAAGTAAACTCCCAGCCCAGCGCTCCAGCCCTTAGCCCAGACCTTACCTGCGCATCTCGGCCTCCAGAGTCCAGACTTACGCAGCTACGCAAATTAGCCTTAGACGAGGAAAAGGAATCGAGGAAGGAGTTGCGAAGTGGACCTGCGACGAAGACGTGAACATCTGCCGCGCCGCCTACGTCGTCCTCCCACCTGCGTCGTCTGCTGGTCTGCCCTTCTTCCCTGGACTCCGGCAGTCCGCCGTCTGCCACTCTGCCCGTCTGCCTCTGCGGCTGTGCACAGTGCTCCTCCCTCCAAGTAAAATCCAATTCTCCAAATTCTATTGTGTTTTTTAGATTTTTGATTTATTTTTTTGATTGACTGCGTGAGATTGTGATTTCACGAATTGTGAATGTGTTAATGTCTTTTATAAATTAATTAGCTTTTTAGAGTTTTAGGGTTAGGGAATCATTATAATTATTAATTGAATTTTCAGTACATAATTAAATAGTGTGTAATTCATTATAATTTTATAATGATTAAAGATAGAATTAAAGAGTAGAAAATGATTTAGTTATTATACAATTGAAAATTGAGAATACGGAGTACTTATTAGTTTTATGTGCAAGTGTACAATGATTGTTTTTTCCTTATTAGTTATATTTTTATAAATAAGTATTTTAATTTATATCAATAGCAATCCAGTCTAAACTCATTCTCCTTTTAGAAATAGCACAAAACTGTTTTCATATTCGGCTGTAGTTATACTACCTATTTTTAAATAGGCTAATAAGTTGGTTATAGATTAATATTGACCCGAGAATTGTTTGTTCTACGGTTCTACCGTTTATCTGACCTTGAACCGGTTGAATTAGAATCAGATTGGATCTGCCCTATGTGGTGGACAGTAAGGATCTGTGAAAGGTATGATAGGTTCATCCGTTCACAGGGGACTATTGAAAAGTAATTTAATCTGGTTGATGATGCTAAATTTTGACAAATTTCTCTTGGTAGTTGTTTCAAAAATTATGTCACTTCTTTAAAATAATAAGTTTGCGGTTTTTATTATTGTTGTATGCTTTGTCAATAGACTCAATACTCAATATTGCAACAATTCATACTTTTTAAATTTTAGTCAAGCCTGGCAGAAATTGACCCACGAGAATAGGGAAAGTTGCTGACGATTCTACGAATTTTCAACTGTCTCTTCTCACTTTTTGAAAGTTTATATATTGAGCTTGACCCATTCTTTATTGGTCAGAGAGAATCCAAAACGAATTCTCCACTCAAGAGACTCCAAACATTGCAGAAAACAATCAAAAATGGAAGAAGAAACCTCAAACTCAGAATCCCCAGAAATCACTCTGAGATCAATACAGCTTTCAGACTTGGACGATTTCATGGAATGGGCAGGAGATGAAAGAGTGACCACTTTCTGTTTGTGGGATACTTACACCTCAAGAGACCAAGCCATTGACTTCATAAAGAACCATGCAATTCCACACCCATGGTTAAGAGTGATATGCCTTGAGAATAGAGCAGTTGGGGCAGTATCTGTGACCCCCAGGTCAGGGCATGACAGTTGCAGAGGTGAGCTTGGGTATGTGCTGGCACACAAGTATTGGGGCAAAGGGATTGTAACAAGGGCAGTCAGGATGGTTGCATCTACCATCTTCTCAGAGTGGGCCCACCTGGAGAGGCTTGAGGCTTTTGTAGATGTGACAAACAAAGGCTCTCAGAGGGTGCTGGAGAAATGTGGGTTTCTGAGGGAAGGGGTTTTGAGGAAGTACATGATCTTGAAGGGAAGATCTAGAGACACAGTGGTTTACAGCCTCCTCTCCACTGATTTATGTTCTCTAGGCAAGTAGCTTCTCAATCAATCCTCGGAAAAGGGTCAAATAAACTCTTATACTTTTATGAAAACATCATCCAAGCCCATGTACTAAATTAAACATTTTTTAATTTAGTATCAACAAGCAGTCAAAGAGGTCCTATGACCGGAAACCAACCTCCTACCCCAGATTAGAAACATTTTTTATTTTTTATTTTGCTTTATTCTCTTGCTTCACAATCCAGCCCTGCACACGTCGGTTTTTTATCCTTTCAGTTTCTTCTTTTGTTTTTTTCTCTTTCTTCTTTTTCAATACTTCAATTCAATAGTCTCCCATTTCGTGATTTTCTCTTTGATTTGTTCTTTCATTTCATCATTTCAATTTCTAACAATTTATGTTTTTGTTATTAAAAATAACAATTTGTGTTTTTAGTTTTTTCTTCCTCTACCCCCCTTATTTTCTTTTCTACTTGTTGTCTTCCCCAAGAAATGTTGCTGAAATTTCTTTCTAAGGATGTTTTTACTTGGATTGTAATTTGCTAATCTTGTCTGGTTTGATCTGGTAATGTCCAGTCTCTTTGTATTTTTATAACTATCCAAGTCAATTTTGATCTGGTCTGGATCTAGTTTGATCTGGTCTGGGATAGATTACATACGAATTAACACTATTGTAACTTTATACGCACTCAAAAAATTATACACTTCCGTACAAGAAATGTTGGCCGTAAACTTCACAAAAAAATGATAGGTGTTCACATAAAAAAAAGTTTTAGCCTGCGCAAAAAATTTATACATTTTTCTATATAAATTTTGCAATTGACAATTGTTATTTATTGCCTGACTTTATAAATGAAAAAAATTAGTGCAGAAGATTTTGAAATTGTGTACGGAAGTGTATTATTATTTACTATATATAAGCTTACAATTTTAATTGTGTCAAAGTTATAATTCCAATTTAATGGCAAAGACTACATTTAATATGAGCAATAACAAAAAAAAAACTAAAAGTGTAATTTCTTCACAAATAAAAGAATCTGTAATAACAATTCACATATTTTTTTTTTATTAAGAACGAGCATATTTATGAGTTACAGATGATTGTTTATTGAAATAATTAGGATCTTTTTTATTTGGACTGTAATCTATACCAGACCAGATCAGACAAGACTAGATCAAAATTGACTTGGAAGGTTATAAAAATACAAAAAGATTGGACATTAACAGATCAGATCAAACAAGATCAGCAAATTATAGTCCAAGTAAAAACATCCTTAGAAAGAAATTTCAGCAACATTTCTTGGGGAAGACAACAAGTAGAAAAGAAAATAAGGGGGATAGAGAAAGAAAAAACTAAAAACACAATTGTTTTTTTTAAACAAAAACATAAATTGTTAGAAATTGGAATGATGAAATGAAAGAACAAATCAAAGAGATTATGTGCAACGAAAAAATCAGGAAATGGGAGACTATTGAATTGAAGTATTGAAAAAGAAGAAAGAGAAAAAAAAAACAAAAGAAGAAACTAAAAAGATAAAAACCTGACGTGTGCAGGGCTGGATTGTGAAGCAAGAGAATAAAGCAAAATAAAAAATGTTTCTAACCTGGAGTAGGAGGTTGGTTTCCGGTCATAGGACCTCTTTGACTGCTTTTTTATAGTAAATGCAGTAATGCACCTATGTGATGTTTTATTTAATACATATGCTTAGATGATGTTTTCATAGAAGTACAGGTGCTTATTTGACCCTTTTCCATTAATCCTTTGTACATTTAACTTAGTTAATAATGGATTGAGCTAGGCTTAGGTGAAAAAATCATACTCCGTATTCATATACTTTTTGAGTCTGAGAGATAATAAAAGAATATACATAGTACTACCAGAGCCGTGCGGTGCTTGAGGCGGATGAGGCACTTGCCTCAGGGTCCAAAAAATTGTTAAAATTTTAGGGCCCACAATTTTAGATATTTCTTTAGTATATATATGTATTAAATATACATATTGGGCTTCCTTTTTGCATGTTAGTTAGAGCACCAGTTAGAAAGAACTTGGAGATATCAGATCACACTCACACACTATGTACTAATATGTGAGAAGGGAATCATATTCTATCCAGGAACTCTGCTTTTGAATTACAGGAGGATGCCTTTATATATAATAGGCATTGAAACATCATTTAATTGGAACAATAAAGATAGAACTTTCTGGGAAGTCTTTTCATGTATCTAGCAACTCTTTAGTTTCCCACATTTATTTGAATTAAAACTATTTCCCAACATTGCCTAACCTTTGTCCGCTGACTCCACGGTTGTACTTCAAAAAAGAAAACCCAAAAGTCTCCCAATTACTTTTGTTCGACCAGTTTAGAAGCGAAATAGCCATCAACGTGCAAATGGAAAAGGGTTTTAAGGCAATTTGCGATTCTTTTGTTCTGGCCTAGACTAATCGATCGACAACAGGGCCTTAGCTAAGGTTAATTTGCGATTCCCTTATTCCAATCTATAGACTTAATCAATCAACATCAAGGTTAATCTTTCATCTTCTTTGTTTAGCTTCTAAATTTCTAATATTTTTCTATTTAAAGCCATAAAAGAATTTATAGCCTACCAACTATCTATTTAGAAGGAATTTATTGAACATCTAGAATGTCGAGTTAATTAATACTTTTGCAGCTAAAACAATCTGGCGAGTTGTACTTAATTAGTCATTTGAATACTTTGACATTAATGTAATTTTTATTTAATTAGTCGTTTTTATGATGTTTAATCTTCAATTTCAAAGAAAATTATAGTAAAAAAATAAATAATGTATAGGGCCTTTTATTAAGTTCGACTCAGACCCGAGTTTTGGTAGGATCGGCACTGAGTACTACTTAATAAAAATTAGACATAAAAACTTCGGAGTTAATAAATCTGTTCTCTTCCTTCTTTATTAATCGAACTTTTGAACTATTCATATGTCTTACTTAAATTACTTTACTACACATTTTACATGTATATATATATAGAGAGAGGAATGTTCATGTCAGGCCGGCCTGACGGGCTGCCCCGTCCGGCCGAGCCCGTTTGGGCACCTTCCCGGTGGAATTTTTTGATGAAATTTTTTGAGCATGTTCCTCCTCAAGTCTAGTTTGTCCATACCAAATTTCAGCTCAAAATTCGATCGGGAAGGTTGTCAAATGATTTTTGCAAGTTAACTGGTCCGGAAAATACATATTCCGGACCAGTTAACTTGCAAAAATCATTTGACGACCTTCCCGATTGAATTTTGAGCTGAAATTTGGTATGGACAAACTAGACTTGACGAGGAACATGCTCAAAAAATTTCATCAAAAAATTCCACCGGGAAGGTGCCCAAACGGGCTCGGCCGGACGGGGCAGCCCGTCAAGCCGGACTGACATGAAGAGCACTCTATATATATATATATATATATATATATATATATATATATATATACATATAGAGAGAGAGAGAGAGAGAGTACTCTTCCGGTCAGGTATACCTGACCGGAGCCCCGTCCGGCCTCCTCCATTTGGGGGCCTTCCCGGTGGTATTTTTTGCTCAAATGTTTTGTGTAGGTACCTCATCAAGTCTAGTTCATCCATACCAAATTTCAGCCAAAAATTCAATTGGGAAGGGTGTTTTTATGTGATCTCTACCATATATATATATATATATATATATATATATATATATATATATATATATATATATATATATATATATATAGGGGTTGGGTTCTAATGAGAACACCCCTTAACGTGAGAACGTGAGAACAAATCTTAACCGTAGATCTTAGTAAATTAATGGACAAAAAAGGAGTAGATCTACGGATGTACCATGGAAGTGCAAACACTTAAAAAAAACCCATGCTCTCTCTTCTAATTAAACGTAGGTTAGATGGACATTATAGTCATTTAAAAAAATCATACCGTTGAGGGGGTTGTCATTTCCCTAAAAACTAGGTAATAATAAATCTCAAATCATATATTCTTTAGTTTATAAATTGATTTAACTTCTTAAATAATAATCCAATTTTAACAAAAATTATACCAAATTAAATAACGTTTTATGCTCTTTCATATGACATCAATATGTCATATATAATTTTTAAAAATAAAATATCTATAAGATGCATACAACAAAGAACAACAAACATTTCTATCTACCGGATGCACAAGAACATGTATCTAACACACAATCACTGATATCTAATGCATATGAGATGACCTCATACTCAAAAAGAAAGTAAACCTTGTTGTATGTAATATAGACAAACTGATATCTAATGCACAATAAAGTTATGCAAATTCTAGAGATTGTGCAGTTCAACAACATAGTAGTGGGATCATGTTTGTATTGAATAACATACTCCGTATTTGAGTTTACAAAGCATAGGTGTGCATTACTGCAGTGCACTTGTGCAGTAATATGCAAATGAATTAAGTGTATGGGCGTATAAACTTATGTGCACTAGTATGATGTTTTAGTGTATGGGGCGGAATTATTTGTAATAAAGTTATGTGCACTAGTATGATCTTTTTTCTCTCCTAAGATGGTTTTCTCACTTGAACCTAAATATATATATATATATATATATATATATATATATATATATATATATATATATATATAGAGAGAGAGAGAGAGAGAGAGAGAGAGAGTAATCTTCGACCGGAGCCGCCGTCCGGCCTCCTCCTTTTGGGAGCCTTCTCGGTGGTATTTTTTGCTCAAATGTTTTGTGTATGTTCCTCATCAAGTCTAGTTCATCCATACCAAATTTCATCAAAAAAATTCAATCGGGAAGGTCGTCAAATGATTTTTGCAAGTTAACTGGTCCGGAAAATAACATATTCCGGACCAGTTAACTTGCAAAAATCATTTGACGACCTTCCCGATTGAATTTTTTGCTGCAATTTGGTATGGATGAACTAGACTTGATGAGGAACATACATAAAAAAAATTGAGCAAAAAATACCACCGGGAAGGCCCCCAAAAGGAGGAGGCCGGACGGCGGTTCCTGTCAGGTATACCTGACAAGAACATTTGTGTGTGTGTGTGTGTGTATGTATGTATGTGTATATATATATATATATATATATATATATATATATATATATATATATATATATATATATATATATATATATATATATATATATATATATATATATATATATATATATATATATATATATATATATATATATATGATAGAGATCACATAAAAACACCCTCTAACATGAAAAATAAGAAGAAATCGTGGACATAGATGTGAAGCAATCGTACGGCAAGCATAAAATTTGCTTCGGTGATATGGTGCATTTAATGTGAGCAGATTATTTCCTTGATTATAAAATTTAGAAGAGACGCAATACAAAGAGTGTAACTGTCTTTTCCTTTTCTTACCAATTTAAAAAACATAGAACTTGATCTTAATAATAATAAAATACAGCGATAGTTCATCTTTCCCATCTCCAATTAATTGTCATTGGCTTGGAAAGTGCAGAGGGTTGCACTTGTCTACACATATGGCTTACATGTGGATAATAAGAGTCAAAACGTGTTAAAATGGACACGTTATGGGCAGGGGCGAAACTAGTAAGGGGCTCGGAGGGGCTTGAGCCCCTGCAGTTTTTTTATATTTATTATATATATATATATATATATATATTAAATAAAAATGTAAATTTTTTTTATATTTATTATATATATATATTAAATAAAAAATGTAAATATTTATAAAGTATGCGTATTATATACTACGAAGTAATAACGAAAATTAAAACCAAAAGAGACGGCAGCGGAGTGATGGTGATATAACATGCGTGTGATGTGCTTGTGAAAAGTTTTGGGGTTCGAATCCTATCTTTGTAGCTTTTTAATTTTGCTTTACATAAGTGACTTTGTGTTAGAAAGGAGCCAAGTCCAACTCTGAACAAAAAAAACAAAAATATTTGGGGATGGGGGACGACTCCAAGCGGCCATTTTTTATTGAGAAGCTAATGAAATTTGCATACTCCATGGGTTCATTATTATCATCATCATCATTAATTCTTATGGTGATTTACCATTTAGCTCTCTAGTATGTGGGTAGGGATCACAATTTTGCTAAGGACAACTTTCTCTTCAAATCACCACATCATATTTAATTTCTTGCTATTTGGTTTAATAAAAAAAATCTCATTTGATCTTGTATGTAATTAAAATTATGATGTCTCAGTTTACTTTTCAAGATATTGTTTTCTAGAATAATATTCTTCTCGGTGGAATTTTTTGATGAAATTTTTTAAGCATGTTCCTCATCAAGTCTAGTTTGTCCATACTAAATTTCAGCTCAAAATTCGACCGGGAAGGTCGTCAAATGATTTTTGCAAGTTAACTGGTCCGGAAAATACATATTCCGGACCAGTTAACTTGCAAAAATCATTTGACGACCTTCCCGATCGAATTTTGAGCTGAAATTTGGTATGGACAAACTAGACTTGATGAGGAACATGCTCAAAAAATTTCATCAAAAAATTCCACCGGGAAGGTGCCCAAACGGGCTCGGCCGGACGGGGCAGCCCGTCAGGCCGGCCTGATGAGATGATTTCTCTATATATATATATATATATATATATATATATATATTTTCAATATATATATATATATATATATATATGTAGTAGAGCACACCGATTTGGTAATAAGTTCTGGTAAATGTTTCCCAGAATTTATCACACCGATTTTGGTGGTTTACCTACCAAGTTCTGGTAATATATATATTATATTGTTTCTTTTTAATAAGTTATGGTAAATGTTTCCCAGAATTTATCACACCGATTTTGGTGGTTTACCTACAAGTTCAAAAAAAGAAATATCTATTTTTATATTATAATAGTCTAATGATGCATGTATTAAGTTGAGTCATTGAGATAGTATTTGATTTGTTCTTGTAAAACTAGGAACTCGATTTTGGGATGATCCTTCTGAAAACTCGATTTTGGCTTGAATTCTTTTGATATTATGATCATATGATGTCTGATCTTTACTGCTCGCCATCCATATTCACTTGGGGTTTGATGTGAAGTACTCCCCCGTTCCAAAACTTTCTTTCCACTTCCTTTTTTGGGATCGTGCCATAAATATCTTGCCGTATCCTTCAAAGAAATGGTGTGTAGTTTATATTATTTATTTTCTTTTTACATCAACCACAAACATGCAATTTCACCCCTTCTTAGTGTGTCAAGTCAAATTGGAAAGAAAGGAGCTGAGAATGTAATATGCAGCAAAAGTTTTCCCGGGGTGGGTGGAGTGAGGGGGGGGGGGGTTACATAACAAAACATTTTCTTTTTCCAGGAAAAAATATATTCCTATGAAGTATAAACTTGATGTGTGTGATGGA